CTCCAGGGGACACAGGGACAAGTTCTCTGGCTTTAGAGACAACGAGAGGGAGTTTCTGAAGTACAGAGAGAGTGAAGAGAGGATTGAAACATTTAACTGAGGCAAAAGTGCTGAAACTACTATTTGAGGCTTTTCTGAACTTTCTTTGTCCAAGCAATGCTAAGTGAGGGCACAGTGCCCTTTTTAAGAAATGCCTCCCTCAAGCTAATTTAGACACCTTCACAAGTGGGAGCTTCTGGGTGTGACCACAGTCTGCAGGATTTGGGAGTTTTCATGTTTTGCTAGAAAGGCACATCAGCAGGAATTTAGAGATTCAAACCACTTCTGGTGGCAAGTGTATTAAAGGTCCAGTGTGTAACATTTAGAAGTATCTGTTGGCAGAAATGGAGTATAATATGCATAACTTTGTCTTCATGAATGTATAATCACCTCAAAATCAGAATCTTTGTCTAATCTTGTGCATCATCCATGGAGTCCGCCATGTTGAACCACCATATTTCTACAGTAGCCAGTAGGGACAAACCAAACACTTTAGCCTTAGAGGGCCGTTCAAGGCCACTGTAGTTTCTCTTTTGCACTTGGAAGGAGAGGGTGAAGTAAGGGAGATGGAATCTGCAACTATGCTGCTAGATGGCGCTAAATCCTACAAACTGGGGTTTTAAAGCAAGGCTATATAACCCTTTGAAAAGGCACATTGAATTTCTTTCACTTTCACAGAATTTTTGAGTCAGTATCTTTAAAGAATAACTTGACTGAGTTCAAATGTTGTTTAACAGTAGCACAAGCAGAGAGGAGTCTTAAGGTCAGCAAACTGATAGAGAAATCAGTCAGTCACAAAACAAGATGTAGCTACCATAGCAAGACTTTCAATGTACTACAACCTGCAAGGTGAGGGCCATGGGATTAGCCGAGCTAGCATTACTGCTAGAGTTAATCTGCTAGCATGTTGGCTGCTGCCAGCTGACCACTGTCCATGGTCTATTTTTTTCACTGGCATTGAGCTGTGCCCTCGTCATCATCTGTTTTATTCTCCAGCAGACCTTCTGAACCGAAGTCTTCTGCAGGGTGACAAACCCACACATTGGATTATTCACTGATAACAACTGTCATACAGAAACTGGAAAATAACTTGTATTTCTCCGTTAAAGGAGCAATGTGTAATTCCTGGCCAAAGCATTTCACCTCCTTGCCCTGTGATGATCCTCGCAGTGCAGTTTGTAGCAGTCCATTGAGAGTCTCCCAGCCACCATAAACTAGTGACCATACCAAAACCAAACAAGGGTGTAATGGCCAAACCCTTCATTGTATTGAATTGGTCAAATGTGTTAGAGTAAATATCTCCAAAGGGCACCTTTACTACTCCATTATTAAGAATATAACAGTTATATTAACACAGCATCTTTGTTTATTCTGGGTTTTATTAACAGTATTAACAAAGTTGGAAATTACATAAAACTTGCAATATCTTAGAAATTTACTTAATATATAAACATGCACAAACTAATTATTTTGGCCATAGAAAAAAGTAAAGTATGAGTTTTGTTTTCTTTGTTTTTGGTTTCTTCTACTCGAGTAATTTTCTCGACGATTACTCTCATTCTGGCTTTCTACATATAGAGCTTCAGAGTGAGAGACATGATTGCAGCCTGATAGTTAGTGGGATCTGGGCTGGCAGGGATGCAAGCGGTGAGTTAGCCGTGCTGATTCGGGGCGCGTGTGCGCCAAGCTCGGGGAGCAGCAGAGTGCTAATTTAAGTGCTCCCCAACTGGTGATTACTCGAGTGCTCTGCTTATTTTCCCACAGCTGCTCCAGCAAAGCAGCTCTTTAATTACAGAGTGCGAGGGCATTGAGCCACGGACGCGACAGCGCTCAGCCACTCGCATACGGAAGCCCACTGCATTTGCATGTGTGTGTGTGTGTGTGTGTGCCAGAAATGGTTATATTAGGAGTAAAAGGTTACAAAAGGTCAGGATAGATATCCCAGGAAGTTGAATAGCTGAATGAACATGGCACTGGTTACTAACACAGCTTTTACAGCTGTTTAAGTTCTCTGTGTTTCAAGAAGGCAAGCATGCATGGAAACAGATTAAACACAGTCACATAGTTCTGTCTCCTGCTCCGACTACAATACCAGTAAAACTGATCTGTTCGATATATGTCTCTTTTTACCTTTTTTGTCCTTTTAGGGACCTGTCCAACAACCGGATTGGCTGTCTCTCCTCTGAAATATTTCTCAATCTGGGCCAGCTCTCAAAATTGTAAGTAATCCATAAATTACAAACGCTGCACTGCTTTACGGCTAATTTGCAGTCTCTGTACAGAATATGGTGTTTGATATGGATTTAGCAGTGTATATAAAATACAGAATTAGCTTTAGTGCAGGACTGACCAGCTTATGGATGAATGCCTGTGTGTGTCTGTGTGTCCACAAACAGGAATTTATCTGGGAACATCTTCTCCACTCTGACCATGGGACTCTTCACTCACCTCCTGGCTCTCAGAGTGCTGTAAGGCAACCACACACACATCATGATATTCTGGCAGTGGTTAAAAAAATACACTTAAACCAAATTTGCTATTGTTCAGCGTACAGAGGAACGTGTAAAAGGCAAGAAGTTATTGGCTGTTTTCCCTTTGACTTATTATAGCAGTAATAGCACAGGTGTAACTAATGACATTAACGATGGCTTGCCAGTGAGTCAGCCTGCACAATACCTGTGCCCTGGAACTGGCACACATCACCATCAATAATTTCACCAATTACACCTGTGTTTTTCCTGTTATGACATGTCAAAATGTCTGCTGTGACAAATACCTGTTGAAGTCAAAGAATGGTCGCTCAGACCCAGTAACACAACCACAAGCACACAGGTTGTAACTGTACGCTGGTTTTCCCACCAGGCACTTTGGCACTGAGACTTTGTTCTGTGACTGTCAGCTTAAGTGGCTGCTTCACTGGGCTCGGAACAACTCGGTGAGGATTGGCAACGACACGGTGTGTGTGTTCCCCACCCACCTCCACGGCCTGGAGTTTCGCAACCTACGTGAACAGCAGCTCAGATGTGGTAAGGACCTTCCGTAATGGTGTGAAGTTAATATCACTACTGGGTGATATTAATTCCTAAAATTGATCTAAATGTAAGCACAAACAACAGAGTTACATTTAAAAGAAGCATAAAAAACATTACCTTAAAAACTAGTATCTAAAAATGACTGACACTGCTATGTTTAATCTGTGATATTTTGTTCTTGAGTAAAAATAATAATAAAATAAAAGTAATTAACATTATTAATGGCGATCCTGCAGTGAAATGTATTTTGCTGATAGCTTTACATTTAGCTAGGTAGCACTAGCTTGCGCATTTGCTAGACAACAATAGCAGTATGGGTTAGCTTTTTTGCTGATATTAAAGTTACAAAGCTAAAATTATATCCATTTTGCTAATGTTTCATAGCTGCTTGTTGCATGTAGTATCTCATCACTAATACTTACTAACAAACGCAAAAAATTTAGCAGAGTGCTAAAAAGAGAGTAAAGGTAATGTTATTTACACCTAGTTTTTTTTTTCTTCCTATCCCCAGTAAGTGAAGGAGTAGTGTACGGCGGGGACGTGACCAATACCCAAAAATCCAAAATACACGCTTGTGAATATGCCGCATCAGTATTATTCACACCAACAGCGATGCAAATCTGCGACACATTAAAATAAAAAATGAAATCCACAGACATTTACTGTGGACCGGGCAGGACAGGGATACAGCAGCTTGCAGGGCTCCCAGGGGTCTCGGGGGTCACATTGCAGCACCGAACGGCTCGCGGATAGAGAGGTTGCATTCACCGGGTTAAGTCCGGTACATTAAAAGTGACATGCAAATTAATCCCTTGATAAAAACACCTGCAGTGTGTAAAGGCTTCTATGTTGTTGCCTTAAAATGGGGTCATGTTAACCATATGACTTGTCACATAGTGACAAAAAAACTGGACATTTTTTCACTTGAAGGCACCTTTTCTTAAAAAAACATTAAAAAATAATTATTGTCATAGTATTTAATCTTTTCCTGCATCAGACTTAATTTGTACAATAAAAAAATGATATCCTACCCATAGTCCCTAAATAATTCTCCTCATAATTAGCACTTTCGTTAATTTGTTAATTAATTGACTCCACCTGGCATCCCAGGTATAAATTAGTCCTTGAGTAGAAGGCCAGAATGAAAGCCAGCAGGTCTCTGAGTTTTGAAATCTACTCTCATCCAGACAGTCAGGAAGGAAATGCCTGAAAAGTTTACTTTCTTTGAGGGGACATATTCTCACAATGTTAATTCTATCAAGAAAAACAATGGCAGAATGCAGCATATGAATGCTTTTTGCTTTTGTTTATCATTCTCAAGAGAGGCTGCAGTTATCTTGATTTTTAAAGATAGGCAGGTTGTCAGGAAAAATAAAGTACTGTAATCAGTTTCAAGTCCTGAAGGGATATATGCTGCCTTCAGACGGGGCTTGTTGTTATGAACGCCCCGTCTTGTGGTATATACAACTTCTGTGGACATTTCTTAAGCTTGGAGTTTGTGTATACGACTTCCAATGTCATAATCATGAGCTCATAGACTGGAAAAAAAAGAAATAAACAGTATTTTTGAAGGAAATTATTATTTATAATAATTATTTATTTGAGAGAATAATCCCAGGGCTGTGTGGGTCTGTGTTTACGTACTTACTTAAAAAACTAAATGTAACACCTGATGTTTCCATGAAATTTAAGAAATAAGTGAAAACTCCTTAAATGTCCATCTACATTTGTGGATATCAATGCATGCCTTGATGTTTTTAAGAAATAGAGTGAGAAACATATTTTAAATCATTAGACCTTAGGCAAATGTTTGAGGCTTTAAGGCCAAAATTGTTTCTTATGATGGGCTGAGCTCTAACAAAAAGATATCTATAAGATAACATATCTTTGCACTTTAAGAATGCCTCCTGAGACTTCTCATTAGCAAGAAACAGTTTAATTTCACTAACACTGTATTTGCAAGTGGTTAGCACAATGAGAACATGATTAAGTAGATCTATTCTGATAATAGGTTTCCCTCTCCACTGTTATCTCTCTACCTGCTGTGAACACTTTGACAAGCCTAATATAAGGCAATGATTTAGTGCAAAATTGCCAGAGAAAAAGCCCCAGGCACAAATTGTCTCATAATACACTTTTTGTCTGGTCTTTGCCCTATTCTGTACCACCTGTGTTGGGGGCAGCAGTAGGCTTAGAAGACAGAGGAGGGAGCATGTGCATCAGAAGTTGCTAGTTCAAATCCTAAGATCAGCTGAAGAGATCTGTGCTGGGAAAATAAATGAGCTCTACTCTCCCCTGCCCTTCAAATGTCTGTCAAATTGCTTTTAGTAAAGCATAGAACACTTGAGCAGCTAGCTGTTATACTGAAGATGCTTAGTGGCCAGTGCTGGAAGAGTTGAACTGGGCAGTTGCAGGTGTGAAATGTGTGTGTGAATATGCAGCAAGTAGTTGGTGAGAAAGATCAGGTGTGCTCAGCAAAACCTTTCTGTAATTCTAGTTGTTCATATACAAAACTACGCAGCATGGAGTCTGCCCTACCTGCAGCAGACTAGAAAAATAACTAAAGAAAGAAAGAAAGAGAAAGAAGACTGCATTGTAACATTAAAACGTCTTCATACTTGTTACATGTTTAGAGTTCTAGTGGAGTTATGTCTTGTTTGAAGCCATTTGTGGAAAAGTAATTTAAATATGCACACTATTTGCAAAATGGACTACTTAAACTTTTAAGACTAAATGAGTGTGAAGACTAAAAGATTAAGACATGGTGTCTATCAGCAGCGGGTGCATCAAACAGAGATTTTAAGCAGAACAAAATGGCCTCTTTACTGACTGAAAGCTGTTAGCTACAGCAAAGAGAAATCCACTTTCTTTACTTTCTTTTTTTCTGAAAGACTGGTTACAGACAGGCAATCTCCCCCTGCCTCCCACCCTGTCTCCCCTCCGCTGCGCTATCTCCCTGTTCCGTGCTGCGGTCCACAGGGGAATTGTATCTCATATGTGATAGAATCATCCTCCTCTTCTCCTTACATCTGGTTCACGCAGGGGATATTGCTCTGGAATGAGAAAATCATTGGTTAGTAGTGGGGTATGTCTGTGTGTGTGCATATGTCTGTATGTGTGAAGTGAAGGGACAGCATGTACACGTCTCCTGAGACGTCTGCACCACAGACACTCAGGAGTTATTCTATGTAATCCTAATTGTATGTGTTTTTCATTTACACAGAACAATCCAAAGCAATTACAGGGTAATTCTGCGCAGTGCACAGACAAAGAGCCATGAGTGGTATCCAGTGGCAGGACGAGGAGCGCTCCTTTCCAGCCCTAAAGCATCCATTATGGGATTACAGTGATAACGTTCTGGGCTCCCTGCTCTCGCCATGCTTGGATCCATCCGCCTCTCCGCAGCACAACTCCATCTTACAATACCTTATTCATTCACTTGGCAACAAGCAATTTTCAATTGGATACAGTGTGGTGCTCTAACAACCGTATTTTTAATGTTATTTGAAGGTTTTTATTTTCATATGGATTCACTTTGTAAGGGAATGTCGTACAGCCGTGGACACTGGCCAGGACCTTGTTAAGGCTGTGTAGTTGGAATACTGCTCAGCACCTGATGCTAGGTTTTTGTTATCAAGAAAAATGATGGGGTGGGATGAAAATATTCTTCTTCCACACTCACATACCTACGAAAACATTAATATTTTCCACTGAGACTTTCCCCCATTGTTTTTATGAAGACGTGTCATAGAAGATGCATCTGTTTCTTTCTCCAGCGGCTCCAGCATGATGGCTTGCAGATGTCTGCACCATACATTCCAGCAATGAGCCCTTGTCCCTTTGCTGACACAGGTCGGGTACTGCCTGCAAATGAGGGGGAACGAAGGAGCGCATGCAGCTTCCTGCCAGGATCAGGTGCTTCCTGTGTTGAGGTCAGGGCAAGCGTCAGTTGGACTCATCTAGCCACGGCCTTCTGGTCCTTTAGCACTGCTGGGATGAGAGACACAGCATAGGCCTATAGTCCTGAGTTAACATGGCATGTTATGCACTGCAGCAGACAAAGATTCTGCTTTCTGTAGCAGTATTTATTGCATGATGACACAGCAGTGCAATTACGCTTTATGGGCATCATGTCATTAAATTAAATTTCACGTGCAGGCCCGTGTCTTTTACCCCGTGGTGCACCTCTAATAATGTAATAATATAAAAATATATTGAAATATAACTCAACATAGTCTGTCATATGGGTCTTTGAAGTTCAGTCACACACCTCTTTTAATATCAGTCACTTTGAGAAAGGAATAATAAAGTGACTATAGAGCCACACATGGAACATCAGTTCGAGAATGAAAAAGTCTGCTGGTTCTATTTTCAAAGCAGTTTTGGTAAGGATAAAAATAAAAATTGAAAAGTTAAACCTTTTACTGTGTGAATAAAAAAAGGAAAGGAAATATCCATAACGTATAGATTTCTATCCATATCAGACATCAGTTGTACAAAAAAAGACAAAATCATGACAGTTACCATAATAACTTTGTAATGCTAACAGGTGCAGAGAAATATGGAACCTGGCGTGTGCCAATGAGTGAAATTCATAATTACTTAGGATGAATAAATTGATAGATTTAAAATGCTTTTACAAACTGTTGAATTAAATTTGCATGTAAATGATGTAGCAGTAGGAGCTTGGACTGGCCTGATCTCACAGACTCCCACTGACATTGAAAAAGAAACCGCAGGCCACTCAAAGCTCCTGCTGTCTCTCTGTGGGTTGGACGATCAATTTTTAGGTGACACACTGAGTACACATAATGTTAAAACGTTAAAGCAGGAAACAAATTAATTGTGAGATGGAGTATGATGGGCAATTAAGTAAATTAAATGACACAAAGTGAAATGTTTGTGTGAAAAGTCTTTAAAAAGGTTTTATGTTTCCATTTTAAAATTCAATTAACAGTTGATAATTTAAAGACAGAATAAATGAATAAAATGATAATCATGCGGATTTAAAGTCGTTCAGTTAAAAATGTGAAATGTTCCTGTGATGTTGGCAAAAAATGCCAAAAATCCACCATTGTCTTTGCAGACACATTTTAATACATGATTTCTGTCAGGGCTAACAAACAAACAAATAATTGCGTTTCCTGTAGGTGCTTTACAATAAAAGCCATTGTGTGCGCTTAATGTGAAGCAGCAGCAGCAGTAGGATGTTACATTTGGATCATCAGTAACTTAACACAGCTCTGACACGGTGTGAAGAGAGTGAACATTAAACAGTGAGATAAAAATGTGCTGGATTACATGGATAATTTTCTTCTTAATCCTTCGTACGTGTGAAGGCAGTCTTAATCAAGCGCGGTAATGGCGGACACCGCCACTGCCAATAAAAAAAATACCATAAATAGTATGAAAAAGGGCTTTGATTTCATTAAAATTTTGAGGATTTTAAGGAATTTGCTAATTGATTGAACACTGTAAAAGTCTATAATTATTATGGTGGCACACTCCAGTAATAAGTTCGCTGTACCCTAACAAAGCCCAGTTAGTCAGGGTGCATCAATGTTTGTTCCACATACTGAGCCACACTGCTAATGTACTCTCATACTCACACTCACACATACATATCATCAAGCCTCTGTTACTGTCTCCCTTTCCCTCCCTCTCCTTCTCCCACACACACACACACACTCACACACACAACCAATAATTGCATTTTGCTCTGGCAGTGTCCAATGGGCGAAGGCAAGCAGCCACGCTCTGATCCTTGGCTCAAAGCGTTGTTTCAACAGTATCAGCATCAGCCAAGTCAACAGTCAATGGCCCCCATGCTGTTTCTGCTGTGTGTCACCCGCAGGAGATAACAAAGCCTCAGCTACTGTTGCTGAGGACTATCATAGAGTCTTAACACTCTAACAGGGTCAGCTCAAGTAATTACACTGAGATCATCATGGAAAATCCAATATTAGTGACAGATTTTTAATGTTACTCACGAAAGCATGGCACTTTTGATTATGCACCTATGATTATAAATTGCCTATGTAGAAAATTGAGGTCAAAGCTCTGCATGTGCTAATAGCCGTGATTGTTTCTTGGGTTACGTATTACCATAAGCAGTTGTGCTAACTACTCATTTCTCAGGGGAAATGTTAAAGTTGTGGGCTGTAGACATTCAGCCACATCACCTAATGTGGATCTTTCAGTATTTAGTTTTTTCTAACCAATGCATGGAGCAATAAAAACCTTTATGACCCATGTATCGAATTGCCTGTCAGCAGCAACATCCACAATTGATTTGAATACAAGTGAAGGCAAAGCGCTTGCTTACGCTGCTCTTTGGAGCATGTCCAAGGAAATGTCTAGTACAACGAATACGCTTGGAAGGAATTCCCTAGGTGCTAAGGTGAGCTGGCAAGCCCCCGTTCTAAACCTGTATTAAAAAAAACAAAAACCAGGCCATGCTTGCCAAACAAGGCAACACTGATACACCTCAAGGGGTTCATCTTGACTAGAGACATTGCATTGTCTTATATATCTTCAGTATGGTTAGATCAATAAGGTCCTGAGGGATTTTCCCTAAAAATCAAACCCCCTCCAATATTCTGGCACTGGACTAAACACTCTCCCCGTCTTCTAATCTCATCCTTATCGTAGCCTTATTCTCTGCCAAAACGGCTTGAGGACTTAGGCAGCTGCTAGGTTAGTAATGCTATCACTGGTGTTGCGGCAGGCTTCCATTGTGGACATGTAAGGAGTCAAGGAGAGTCCAGGGGAGCGCTCAAGGCTGTTCTCCTTTATCAGCTGCTGTTCATCTCACACAGCAACAGCAACAACATGTGGGAACGACGGGGGAGGAGTGTGACCTTGACAGAATGTGTGTGCGTGTGTGTGTGTTGACAGTATTTTGGGGGCATGCACATGTGTTTGTGGTAGTGTGTGCAGGGTTGATATGAGTCTGATTACAATTCACGCATGTAATTTCGCATTCCTAGCTGTTATCCCCACCGGCAAGGTAAGCAAAATCACACTGAATACCGATCCCCAAACACCTCCATCCTGCCTCCATCTTTTTGCTCTCAAGGATGGAAGGATGACCTCTCGCTCTTTTCCTCCATCCCTCCTCTGAAAGGGGGAGGAGTAGCTTTACAAGCTGACCTTCCTGTTTTATCCTCTCCTTGTCTTCCAGAAGGACCTCTGGAGATGCCCCTCTTCCAGCTCATCCCCTCCCAGAGACAACTGGTTTTTCATGGAGACCGCCTACCCCTACAGTGCACCGCCTCCTACCTGGACCAGTCAGTGAAGTTGCGGTGGCGTCACAACGGCCACATCGTGACCACACAAGAGGACCAGGGCGTCTACGTAGAGGAAACCCTGCTTCATGACTGCTGCCTGCTGACCAGGTACACGCAGAGGATGAGAGGAGGGGGAGGCGAGGAGGGAGGGAGATGTGAGCTGAGAAGCTGTCGACTGGCCTGTTGAACTAACACACATACACACACTTCCAAGAAGTAAAGTCCACCCAAGCAGAAGTCAACATACGCATTCAAATAAGCTGCTAAACAGTCTCATTATGTTTCATTGAGAAAAATACACATGTGCATTCCCAAACAATGTAGAGCACACATGTTCCTTCACACAAAGACGCCCCTCTCCCTGTCTCTCACTCACCCATAGGAGATGTGATTTACCTTTTGTTATCGGCGCCCTTGATAAGAATCTGAAAGGACAGGACAGAATTGGCTTGGCAGCGTGCCAACACCTCAGAGCAATCTGCAGCTCGTCTCTGGAGGTTGGCCGTCCAGTCGCTCCCTCAGCACTGACGGAGCGCTAGCTGATCACACGCTAAGATGAACAGATGCTGAATCATAATTGTGGTGATAAAGTAGACTGGCAACACTGGTTTCTCACATTTTTCTGATAGAAGACATTGCTGCAAGCCTCCATCCTCTTCCTGCCTTTGTTTTCTTGGTGGTCTGCAGCGCATATGTGTGTATGTGTGTGCGTCCGTGTGTGTTATAGTAAATGTGTTGTGACGTAATGCTGTGGCAACAGGGCTCAGATGCAGGAGCACATTGCTGTTGATTACTTTAACTGCTGCCTGTTCTGACTCGGCCTCTCTAACATAAATATTGATGGAGTGCTGACAGAAATATGTATCCCTGTGTCAACAGGGCCTGAACGCCTCTTGTTGTGCGGTTTATTTGGCAGCAAGAATGCCAGCTCCTTTTCCGCTCCATATCGGGAAAGGTATACCATTCCCCTGACTGCAAACGCCACAAATAGTCAATATTTTTTCTTTTCATTATGTACCAGCTCACTGTTTGACATTCTCAGTGATCCCTCTGGTGAATGCACTGCCTTGAATAATTGGATTACAGGGTAGAGAGAGAACTTTTACTGTCTTTGTGACTCAGTAGTGATGTTTCTTGGCATAGTTTATTTTTATTGAGGTATTCATCAATAGGGGTCAGCACTTATCCACGTTATTATACTTCTACCTCACCACATTCAAAGAGAAATTTAAAACATTTTAATCCACAAAATTTTATTTGACAGCTGTATTTACGAGCTACTTTGCAGATTTTATATACAGAACATAATTGTCTTGCATGCATAGATTCAACCTAATAAAGTTATTTTGGTTTTCTGACCCACAGCTACTGTTTTGTAGTGTCTGTCAAAGTCACAGCAGATAAGATTTTTTAGCAAAAATGCTCACATAAACCAAATGTACACTAGCTGCCTAAAAAATGGTGAAGCATTTAGCAGCTTATGAGCCAGATATCTCCCTCAGGAGCTGAAGAGTGCAGAATTTGAACATTTCTGACTTTGGCACCCTTAGTGGCAGCATCAAAAAGGAACTCTGACATTGGGTTAAATCAACACACAAATGTTCACAAACAAAACAATGTCATATTAACCATTTAAATAATGCTATAATCACGTGAAGATTCTACACATGGTAGCTTTAAGTGAAGAGTCTGAAACCGAAACACCGATTATCAATAGACATAAAGTAAAACTCACTAATATTAACAGTGGTGACATTCAGGTCACTGGCTTCATATCCGAGAGGGACTGTCCATTGTTAGGTGTCATTGTAGGGAGAACTCTGTATGCAACTGACCCTCTATGTTGGCTGTGTACTGACTGGTTCAGGCCAGTTTCAGCCTTCTCCTTCTCCAGTCCCAGCACAAACTGTTCTGCTCCCCATATCTCCCCCTACTCAAAAACGAATCCCCTAGAATTTTGAGTGCACTTTTCCAGCTCAGTGTCCCAATGGAACATGATGAATTTCTCGTCGCTCCCATTCTGATTAGGGCCCGCTTGCAATTACCCACTGCTCTCCTCTTGTATACACAAATAATGCAATTTTCTCCCCCAAGTGGAACCCATTCAGGTCATGTTACTCTTGGCACCTAAAATGTCTCCCTCTTGTAGAAAACCTGCTAGGAGCAGACATCATTTCCATAGCTGATGAGTGTGTAACAGAGCTCGGTCCAACAAAAACAATCTGCAGTGTCTGGGCCGAACTTCACCCTTCACCCTGAGCTGTATCTTAAATTGCAGTGTTGAGAGAGACGTGTGAGGGAAATTAAAGTCCTGTGAATTCACTGGTCCAGCACTCGTTAAATCCAACCTAAAAAAATACAACCATAACTAATGTTTTGGCCTTTGACATGCCAGACGCTGTCAATGTTCGTTTAGCCAGAGCGGACAATATATTAGTCATTACGGCCCGTGTTGATGTCGTTCACCTTGGATAAATGTGCTCTGAGTCAGTCAGCCTCGCCCTGCATGCCCCATCAGAGGGGAAAGACTGAATACACAGGATTTAGCGCGTGGCTTAAAGCCCTTGTCTGGATTTGTCGCACAGTGTTGCAGCAATGTGAGCGGAGATGCCAAAGCCTCAGTGAAGTGACCTCTTTGAAGGTGAACCCAAAATGTTTTGCAGCTCTTTTCTCAGCTAAATTCTGCTTATCCGGCTTCAGGCTGCATCAGGCAAACGGCCAGGGTAGACTTTTCAAAACAGGACATGATCTTTTGCTTACTGAAACCGCCATAACATTATGAAATATCTTTTGTAATTTTTGTTTTGTATTGTACTTTTGTATCTTTTAGCTTCATCCCACTTTCACACTGTGCTGTGTCATTATAGCCTCTTATTTGCTGGCGCAGGTGGGCCGATAAGCTGATCCGTTTACATTGCTCACAGTGAGCAGCAGCAAAAAACCAGGCCCCATGAGGCCTGATGATTCTGCGATGTGGGCCAGACTCCTGCTGAGTAATGGTGTCAAGCCAAACTCCCAGTATTAGCTATGCTAGCGGCAGCACTGGGACTAGCCTGTGATTCATGTTTCATTAATCAAACATTTTAGAGCCCTGTAGCGAGCTACCGCAGACACTTTGGATGTATCTTTCTTAATCCTCTCCATTTTTAATCAGGCTAATCTTGCACAAAATGAAGAACCTGGTTTGGAAATATTACTGAAGGCAAAGGAAAAAGGAAAGTGCCTCTTCCTTCGCATCCGTCTGTGATCTCCCAAAAGCTCTCTTTATGTTTTTTAATATACAACTCTGTGCTCCTGCTTACAAACTTTAATTTATTAAAATTCTACCTGCATCTCCATCCTAGGTTATCATATTGTACTGTGTTTTCTTTAAATCCCTGCCTCTGTTGCACTTTTTGTTGTTTTTCTTCATTTTCTGTCTTGAATTTAGAGATCTGTTTACAAGCTTTTGTGCAGCATCAGTTGCTAAGGAGACCAAATTTGATCATCTCCACATATATACAATTTTGCCTCTGGGATCACCACTTTACTGCTTGCCAGTTTCAGTCAATGCCGAAAAATGAAAGCTCTTAGTTACATTGGAGTAAGTTTAACAAGGAGAAAGTCAAGTGTTAATTATTAACATTCTACATAATATATTGTGTAGAGTAATGGATGGAGTGGGTTAAGACAAGGAACTAATTTGATATGGATGCTGCTCCAACAGGAACAGTATATTCATTATATCAGAGTAAATTATGGCCCTGTGTGTGTATTGATATGCACACTTGCACCAGCATGTATGTTTACATGGACAATGTATTTCTCCTCTTGGCATCTAAATATTCAAAACAAACAGTCGAGGTGTAGGTTAAAACTTGTTTGCTCATTTTGAACGCCCTCACAGCCTGTGATAAAACGCAAATTCACAAACTGTGATCAGCAAGCTTGCATGAAAATGTCCAAGCTTTGGAACATTTGTTGGGTAGAGGGGACAGATTGAAAGTTTACAGTCTCGTAAGCAACATTATGTAAACAAATTGTTAAATATCAGCGCGCAAGCATAAATGTTCCTAATGAGTCCTTGGGGAACTGCTCCACAATGGTGCAGTGTTACTGTGGATGTAGGTCACTGCTTTGTGTTTGGCTTATGTGTGCCCCTGCCCTACTGCTTTTCTCATACCGGGGCGATTTCTTCATGTTTATTACGTGAGGATGACCTTTTTCTAGAGCTGGACTGTCTTTTGGGATGGTTTCCTCTGCTCTCCTTGTTTTGTCTGGGTGCAGCAGTTCACCGGGGACGTTTGTGATCCGGCTGCAGCAGAATACGCCTTCACTAGTGAAGTTTTCCTTTGTGAGGCAGGCGGTGGGAGACCGGGAGGGAGTAGCAGAGAGAGAGAAGGGGGCGGTTGGGTGTGTATGTGTGTTGGGAGGGAGGGTGAGGAGGTGTGTGGGGGGTATTTTTCCCTGTGTATTTCCCAGCATTGAGACAGTTGGCCCATGTTCAGCAATGATGTAACTGTCCCCTCTGCAGACTATCCATGGTTAGGGAGGACAAGCACGGCAGTGCTGTCTCACACACCTGCATCATCACCATCATCATTATCATCATCATCCTCAGTAGCATCATCATCATCATCATCATCATCATTATCCATAACAATTCAAATCAATTTGTTTTGTTTCATGTACTGGATAAGGACATCTATTCTTCCAGTCATAATAAATCATGTGAACAAAAAAAATAATAAATGATCAGTAAGGTTTCATGACACTTATACGTATGCATATATATATATATATATATATATATACTCATTTTTGCTAGGGCTTAATTGTTTCGTGTTGCGGCTATAGAATTAGCAGTAAATACATGAATAAACAAGGCATTTGAAAGTCTGTCTCAAGTATCGTATGCCTACTACAAATACGTTAAGAAAACACTCACAAGTGGAGACAGAAGGCTGACAGATGCTGAAATAGTCAGAAGTCAAACTTTAAGTGAGTAACATCAGTGGAACTAACATTACTGATGCCTCTCACACGTCTCTCCTCACTGTTTTAAGTTTGTCTCTCAATGGCTGCCTGTGCCAATAAACTGAATAGCAGTTTACTTAAAGGCAACCTGTGGAGTTCTTGACATCTGGTAGTGCTATGGAGCAGTTTTTCTATGAGTGCGTCTGCATTTCATTTGTCTCATGCAAGCACACGAGGATGCACACACTACACACAATGCTGCCGGTGGTTTCACACTATTGCACTGATCTACAGGAGGGTGGAAACAGAGAGGACTCCCTCCCCTTCCGGTGTCTACCATTGGCCACTATTTCTGAAAAAATCTGTACGAGATAAATAATGTTTTGATGCTGTTTAAATTACACATATAATGAGAGATCAGCCAGGATTCTATATGTCAAACGTGGTAATTTGTGGGGCTACTGTGGGGATATTACAATTCTCTGTGAGGTTATAGCTCCTCCCAAACACTGCCTATGTCCACATTTTCTTGTGAAAACTGATTTCCACCAGTAATCCTGTGCAAATTGTCTTTTCTTTTTTTCAATATACTGGAGTCTGTAGGGGAAGGTGTTGAATGCTTAAATCTCTCAAGTTCTTTATTGCTAAATCAATAAGCAGAGTGGGAAATGTTGGCTTTATATAGTATATATGTATATGTATATATGTATAGTAGTATTTGTAACATTGGAACCTGGTATTTCCTACCAACTTCATTATCCTATGTGATGATGAAAATGAAAAATAGTTTGAGGGGTGTTCTATGAATAACTGTGGTCTCCATGTAATACCAGTCCTGTGCAAATATGAGAGATTGACAGATTTGGTCCTCCACTTTACCTGCCAGTATTTTATCTATATTAGCTGTTAAGATTAGGTTCTCAGTCAGCATATGTCCTCATTGTGGTTTGTTATATAACTGTAGAGCCCATCCACACTTTATACTCAACGTGTGTCCTTTGGAAGAGGGAGGATGTTGTTTTAGAGAGGCAGTTGGAGAAAGAGACCGTGAGAGAGACCGAGTGATTGAAAGAGTGTGATATTGTGTGTGAGACAGAATAAGCGTGTGAAGGAGAGGTAAGGGTTAGGGTTACACTTTAGAATCTCCCTGTAAACTAAATATTTGAGTAAATTATACGGACATCATCGTAGTTATGTTGGAGATGATTCATTCCTAGGGTAACATTCTTTAAAGTTCTCCTAATAGTGTGTAGGGATCTGTCTCAATGACAATACTTCAAAAAGCTCCTGTCCAAACTGTTAAATGATTGGTGCAAAAACCCTTCTAAACTAGCTAAATGCCCAGAAAGGCTTTTCGGACGACTGAAAATGTACGCACATGCAAAAACCCTCACATGTACTCACAGACAGTTACACACACACACAGACCTACACACTAGCACAGAATGTCATCATCTCAGTCAAGCGTTTAAATCTGATTTAGAGCCTGTTAGAAAAGCAATCAGAAAAGAGAGCTTTAGTGGAACACAGAAGATGAAATCAGGACTTATTTTTTTCATTTTCATAACTCGCCCACAGAAAGTCATTGGAGCAAAGTCATGGGTCCGTTCGGTACAGGGGATGTTAACAGCATTCTCTGATTTCCGCTGGTCTTCACTTACAAAACAAACAGCAGTGGAGACGAGTTCACACCAAAGCACGATGTGATTTCACTTGAAAACTTTTAGGTATACACAGGTAATAGATTCAAAACACTAGAGCTTATTTATAGGCGAAAAGCATTTGACAGACTTCATGAAGGGTCATATTTACTTTTATTTGTCAGCATTAGTATTTTTTATCATATATTCACACATCAGACTCTTAATCAATTTACTATTAATTTTGTTGTTTTTTATCAAAAAATAAATACATTCTAATATGCATAAATGCTTTAAAATTGTTCTTATTTATGGAACTTTTGATATTTAGTTGTGTATGATAGACAAAGTAATTCAGGAACTATTAAAGTACAGCAGTTATTTCCCTCACTACTACTAAGACTGTCAACTCTGCTAATAGCTTCAAATCATGGATTCTTTTGGTAGTGAAAATCTGACAGTGTGACAGCCTAGGACAGACATTTGTGGTCCCCAGAGGATGAATCCTACGGGCTTGGTGATCGCCTGCCTTTTTTCCTCTAGCAATACAAGGTTTACAAATTAAGTTCTGAGTGAAATACTGACTATATCTTCAGAAGTGTTGGATGAATTGCTGTTAAATTTGATTTGCAGAGTAGGCACTCAATAGACCAGAATGCCATGCAGTCACAAGTCATATTGTCTCATAGAGTCAGTCTCTTTTATCATATTCAAACACATACAGGTCAGGTGTATGTGAACGTGTTTGTGTAAAAGTGTTTATCCTGTGATGGGCAGGGGTGATTCCCTGCCTTTCACCCAGTGCATGCTAGGACAGGTTATGCCTAAGTGAGACAAAAAACGGAGAAAGAGAGATAGGAAAGTAGACAAAATGAAGCCATTTAACGTTTCTGAATAAATATTTCTCGTTGAGAAACGTTTTACGGGATTACAGCTTCTCCACATAAGAGCCGCTCAGCTGCTAATCATCTTTACTCTGAAAGATTTCAGTTTTTTGTCCAGTCTGTCACTTCTAATTTTTAAAGTCAACTGTCACACATTCCTGTTTGTGAGCATTGTCTCCTAAGTCGCATTTAAAAACTTTATACAGTATTGTGTAAGTATACTGTGACTTGTATTATGAACACGCTCAGCTTAATTAAATCACAAAAAAGGCATTAGCTCCTTAAGTACACACAAAGCAAAGTGTATATTTGACTACAACTGGATAGTATTTGGAAATTAAACATTGGCATTTCTCAAGGAGGCAGTATTTCCATGGTGATAATTCCCGTTGCTAAGCAATCTCCGCCGGCTTTTCTCCCTTTTTTTTCATAAGGAGTAAAATCCTCAAGATTAGTTGCCTTGGCAAATGGCCTGCATTGGCTCTTTGTCACTGTTTTACCATCCTTTGTTTAATCAGGCATTTTCCATTGAGATAGGAATCGCTGTGACAAAGTAGGAAAGATAAGCATGAGTAATGATCATTTTAAGTCACGGCCAACATTTTAAACCACTGCATACACACGGACACGGGTCTATTCAATGAATTTTTGGACTCCCATCCTGATGAGGAGCTTCCACTGGTTACAGATTCCTTCAGATGTTTCTCTAACCTTAACCTTCCCCACTGCATGATCAAATTGAATCCTGAGCCTAATCCAAAAATGATCTAAACCTAATCCACCCTTAATTCAAGTCATAAAACAAAGACAATCCTCAGTCTAGATTTAGCCCCAAACTCAAGAACAAATCCTAATCTATCCCTTGTTCAAACTTCATTTTTTTTAAGCTCAAAGGAAGAAGTTCACCAACACACGCCACATAGACACATGTAATCAACAGTTTTATGCCTCTGTTCTCCTCCTCCAGTGAGGTCATCCTCTCCAACATTGACGTGGGCATCGCTGGCATCTGGGAGTGCCTGGTGACCAGTTCCCGTGGCAACACTTCTCAGCAAATGGAGATAGTTGTTCTGGAGACGTCTGCACCATACTGCCCAGCTGACAGAGTCACCAACAACAAGGGGGATTTCAGGTGAGTCGCCTGTCAGCAGTCACTCACGGCTGCTCGACCACGTCGGTTCAAGTGGTTTCGTAACCATATCAGTTCTAGCATGTTGGTTCACTCGAAATAAAGACGACTGAAGGGATTAGTTTGACATTTTGGGAAATGGTCTTATTCACTTTCTTGGCAAGAGGTAGATGAAAAGATAAATACCACTGTCATGTCTGTACAGTAAATACTGTATAAACCACCAGCAGCTTAGTTTAACACAAAGACAGCTAGCCTGGCTCTATTGAGCACCCACCTACCAACACCTCTAAAGCTCACTGATTAAGGTAATGTCTTGTTTATTTAATCTGTCCAAAAACCAAAGTGTACACCAGTTTTATGGGATGGAAGTCACTGCGCCAGGCCAAGAAATAATCCAGCAGCTGACCTCTCATAAAAACACATTTTTACACGCCGGTTCTTGTTCAGATTAAACAAGAAATATGTGACAACGTGTGGTGAAGTGTGCAGGAGAAACTATGGTGGCCGCAAAACTCTTGTAGAAACACAGCTGTTCAACACTGCAAACTGCAACCCACAGTGTCTGTTGATAAAAACGTCTCATTCTAAAGGAACTAAAGACAACAATTCCTTTATGCATGTGATTATACACTAATGAAAACATAGCTACGAATATTATATTCCATTTATGCTAATAGATCCTCCTAGATGTTACACACTGGACCTTTAACAGCAAAGTTTGTCTTGGGTAAGGTAAGAAAATAACAAAGGTTATATATATCTTGTATCTGAAGTGTAAGTTCTGTTTTCCAGCTAGTTTTGAGTAATTAGTGGTATGAACAGTAAACACTGGTTTTCAAAGCTGATACCAGTCGGTTTCGAGCAAAAAGATGCTATATTTTAACCTCAGTATAATTCAAGTTGCCAGAAATATTCCCAATTACAGAGTCTACTGTATAAAAATTAATACTGTAATCAGAGCGCTCACTCTCTCTGCTATTATCTCTCCATGTACGGTTCAGTTGAGGTACTTACGTCTGGTTCTTGGCGGTGTCGTGCTGGTTTTTGTTCCACCTGACAAAAATCTGCCACACCTGGCCTGCCTGACACCAGATGCAGCTCATTAACTGTCAAAGAGCAGGATTTAATATGTACAGTAGAGCCTGGATAGTTCATACATTTTAATAATAATTGGATATGTCATATGAAAACTCCCACAATCACTGCGGCCCAATGTAGTCCAGCTTTATATAACAAGACTGTAAAAAAGGAGAGATCACATTAAAAGAAGAACAAACACCACACATATCTTGTGCCCTCCATCTATCCTCTTTTCTCGTGTCCTGAACTCCTTGTGACCACCTTGAAACCTTGTAGTTGTACACACACACTCACATCCTCCACCACTCCTCCCCCGTGGGTGTGCTGTTGTCATGTACGATCCTTTGTAGCCGCTGTACTTTACAGCCCTCTTCCAGTGCAGCAAGCACAGAGGCTTTGTTTCTGCTGGAGCATTGGAGTAATGGGCTGTAAAATGAGCCCCCTTTTTTGTTGGGGGCGAAATTAACGCCATTTATTACTAAGTAGCTGCTGCTGCTGCATCAACGTGGATGGAGAGGAAAAAAATGGGAGTGGAGTGGGGAGCAGCGAGATGGCAGGTCTCTCCAGTCAGAACAGATCACCAGCCCCCTGAGTGCGATGCTCCTTTATTTTCATTTAGAGTTAGTAAGTTAAAAGTGTTGCTAATTAAGCATTACTTCAGCTACTTTTCTGCAGGAGGATTTTGACGTTGCCTTGAGGAGAAAACCACAAAACATAAGACATGTTTCTCCTCTGATTGTAGAAAAAAAATTATCAATATGTGTGAGCACAAACCAACTCTTTCCTAAGGCTGCAGAAACACAGAAATAAGACCTTTAATCTCCAACAGCGCCATAAAACAAAACCTGGAGTTCTTTTATTATCTTGGAAATGGAGGAAATGTAGTGGACGATGGGTGTTTGGCCGACTTTTCACACTCAAATGAGCTTCATTTTATTGAAACACTAACAGGCATTAGCCAGAAAATGAAAGTTTTCCATTTCCTTGTAAAATCAGCCCTATCACAGGTTGGTCAGTAGAGCAGCTCCAAGACTTGACTCTTGATGACATTATTGACAAAGTCTAATTTCTTGCTTGAGAGGAGCCTTCACTGAACTTTGCATGGCCATACGAACAACACTTGTAATTTATGTTTCAGGTTGAATTTCCCCTTTCGGAAGGAAGGGGGTCAGGCTTTTGTTGTTGTATATACTGTGCATATTGTGATGTTTTAATTTAGTCTCATATTGTTTTTTTGCACTAGCTGTATCTGTTTTAATGTCTATTAACCTCCTGTCACTTCCTCTTGGCCAGGCTGTCATTGTAAATGAGAACTGGTTCTCACTTGACTTATCTGGTTAAATAAAGGGGGAAAAAAGAAACATGCAAGAACATTCTTTTGCAAATATGCACCGTTTTCCATCTGTCATCCATGGTGCATGTTAGAGGGGAGCTCTGGTAATGTAGTAATGCACGTTCATATACTTGTAAGGGATAAATTAAACCAATAAGGGTCAACATTGAATAGCAGAAACTAAGATATCCCAACTTCTAAGCTGTAGCATGGGCCAAGTGCCAAAACACTTGAATCCTACATTTCCCATGATTCAGTTTGAGAGCACCTTTCATTAGACCTTCCTTGGCTGTTAAGTTCCCATGTCTGTCACCCTCTATGCCCACCAGTTTGTTTGTAACAAAAGCTTTCTGTTATGTTGTATAAATATTTGAACCCCTAGCAAGATGTGTAAAATTGGCAAAGTGCCACTTTAAGTGCATTCTGTCATTAAAAAATGGTTTATTTTCCTTGTGTTCACAAGTGCAGAAAGACAATAAAGCTGATTGATAAAGTTAGTAAATAAAGTTAATTAAGTCAGAAGTCATTAATAAGACAACATATTTTTTCACACTGAAGCATCAGAATCTGGCAGCCTTCTGCAAAAAAAACTAGAGCTAGCTGTAAATCAAATATGCAAATCAATAATTTCCTAAGTACAGGGAGTATGAAATTGCCATCTGGTGCCGTGATTCCTAAACTCACTTCATTCCTGATAATTTGGAGATATCCTGTGTGGCAGGTGGCCAAAGACTTTAGCTGGCATCCTGGCCTTCCTGCCCTGTGCTCCTGCCACCTATGGCTCTGCCCCCCATCCCTCTGGCGGTGCTCCTCACCCCTCCGGCCAGAGGGAGAAGAAGGCATGGCGGCGCTGCGACCGGGCTGGACGATGGGCTGAGGAGGACTACACCCAGTGCCCGTATGCCAGTGAACTGACCCGCGTGCTGCATGAGCTCACACAGGTATCAGCACACATGGTGGGCTTGTGCATTTATAGATTCTATTCCACTCTCTGTTTCCATCGTCAGTGAATCAGTTTTAATTTTGAATGTTTATTATGATGTTTAGCATGATGACATATTTGTGATAACCTAATATTCCTAGAATACAGGAACAACACTGCTTCATCTGTAGCCTGAAGGTATTTATAGATATGTACATAATGCAAACTGACTGACGATGGGCTGTTTCATTCAACATTACTCATGGGATTACTGTACTACATTAAACACATGCATGGCATGAAATAGCAGTAATTTATTATTTATTACATGTTGTCATCGCTGTTTCATCTTATGTCTCTGTTGAATTGTGTTGATGAACTGTGTGATCATCCATTCTGACTGTGTTTTCCTTTTTTTCCAGATAACTATTAACACCACTAATGCTCAGCCTTTAGGCCAGCAGTTAGTGGCCTTCACCAGCAGGGCAGCACACTTCAATGACGTCATGGATGTAATCTTTGTCACGCACCTGGTGGAGAGACTGACGAGGCTGGTGGAGAAACGTAGAGACGTAAGAGTGAGCGCACAGAGACACACCACAGCCAGTTCACTTTGTAACATGTAATAAAGCCTCAATTTTAAAAAGCCTTTTTTTGCTACGTGTTTGCAAATTGCCATTGTCAAAGGTATACCGAAGGAGCTATTAGCAGTTCTTGTTTGTGTGTGAAAACTACCACTGATTAAAGAAAAATGTAAAACTTAAACTTAAAAACTTTCTGTTTCTGTTCTGGAGTGATACAATCATCTTTCTTTTATGATTTTCTGAAAGTGTAAGTCACACTGAATCTAAAAACATATCTCGGCCTATCGTGTGTGTTCAGATTTATGAGTTTTTAACAAATTGTGGCTTCACGCCTCACGTCTCTCCCTTCGTGCCTCGCAGTGTGCAAACCTCTGCTTTGAAGGAACTACTTACAGTACTGTCATTCTTTGGCCATTGTTCTGTCTTTTTGACTCCAGCCCAGACTGCAATATTTTACTGCTGTATCAAATTGCTAATGTGCAATTTAAAGGGAACTATTGTACTGTCAGTTGTTACTCCAGTTCTGACAGCATTCACGCCTGTGCTCATTCTCAGCTTTCTGAAAGCAACGATTTGCCGTTGGGCAAATGGGCTTTATCTGGAAAACTGTTGATTAGCTCATCTATAGGTGACAACACTTTCTCGAGAGCCTTTAGCAAACAGATATTTATGTCCGCGAGAGACAGCGGGGGCTGCCTAAAGAGACACAGCAACATGCTGGTGTTCTGTTCAATCCTTTAATCGATTCCAGACAGCTTAACTTTTCACCTCATATGTTTTCCTCTGCCCATGGCAGCGTTGGACCTGAATGACAATTATAGTTATGAAGATGCATCGCTTTTTGGGCAAGCCGTTTTTTACCTTAAGTGAACCTCTCTTCCATCTGTGGCCGGAGGCAATCGGAGGGTCTTACGTCACACTGAAGGTCAGGCTGTGCGAAGGGAAGGGTGTTGAGCTTAGTCAGTGAAAAGACTCAACATTAGCTCTCACTTGTCCAATTACTCATCATAGGTCACTCGGGAGGAGATATTATTAGGAGATACTTAGAGTTTTATTATTCCTAAGACAATGCTGATGAGACCACCCTCATTCATCCAATGAAGAACAGTTAAATGAAGCAACAATGAAAAGTACAGTAAGTAAATAGCGAACTGCCATCCCAAGGAAGTGATTATGCCCCATTGGAGCCGCTAATCTAAATTAAATCTCCCTATAATGAATGAAGCCACCATTGCCTCCCTCACAATTCTGACTGGAGATTACAAATGTGCCTGTTGTTAGGGATATGATTGATGTGCATGATGAGTCTGCCTTCTTGTGTGTGTGTGTGTGTGTGTGTGTGTGTGTGTGGGCCTTGTATGTACAGTGTAATTGTGTACATGCATCCATTCGCATACATGTCTGCTTGTGTTCTTGCAGCTGGGGGACTACATATCAGACATAGCCAGTAACATGATGCTAGTGGAGGAGCACATCCTGTGGATGGCACAGAACGAGGCCAGAGCCTGCACTCGGATCGTCCAGTGTGTGGAGCGTATCGCTGACCTGGCGCTGACCGGAGACAATCAGGTCATTTCTAAGGTATGGCTGGACTTTACTGAAACAGTAACACCAACACTCACAGCCACTCAGGGCAAAGGTTGATTATCTGACTAAATGTCCCATAGCTTTACTTTTTTTCCTCGCAGCCTTAGAATAATGAGAAGTTAATCTGGCTCCAGCAGATAGCTAGAATAAGGCAAGAGAAAGATAAATCGCTTCCTTTTGTTTCTTGCTTCCGTCTCTTTTTTAACCTCTCTCCTGTCACTTGGGATAAAAGCATCCGTTAAATGACTAATATATAAATCTCTGCCCTCCCTCCTTCCGCCACCCTCCAACCCTTCCCCCTGTCTCCCCCACTTGTAAATTCCCCCCCC